GGCGGCGCGGCCGCGCCCGGCGGCGGCCGCAAGAAGAAGGGCGGGCGCGGCGGCGGCGGCGGCCGCGGCCGCGGCGGCAAGGCTGCGGGCAGCGGCGGGCGCGGCGGGCGGGTCCGCGGGAAGAAGGGAAAGGCTGACAGCAGCGAGGACGGCGGCGAGGGCGCGGGCGCCGACTCAGACCCCGACTTTGAGCCTGACGCTGACCTGGCGGCCGCGCTGCGCGCCTCGCTGGCGGCGCCGCCACCCGGCGCCGCCGCCGCAGCAGTTGACCAGCAGCAGCAGCAGCAGGGGGCTGCCCAGGAGCAGGCGGGGCAGGCGGGGGATGCGCAGGGGGAGGAGGAGATTGTGAGCAGCAACGCGTACCTGCTGGTGTACCGCCGGCGAGGCTCCGACCTGCCACTGGTACCGCTGGATGGCGAGCAGCAGGCGGCGCTGGCGGCGGCGCAGGCGGCATTTGCAGAGGAGCAGCAGCGGGGTGCAGAGGCGTATGCCGCCGCCAAGCAGCAGCTGCTGGAGCGGCAGAAGCAGCGGCAGGAGGAGGTGCGGGGCATCGTGGAGGCGGCGGCGCAGCTGGAGGAAGGTGGGCGGGCGAGCGGCTGGGCTGCTGGGCGGCTGGGTGGGTGATGTGGCTTCCCAGCGCAGGGGCAGCCCAGCGCGAGCAGCAGCAGCCCGCGCTTTGGTCCCACCCCTGCCCCTGCCTCCTCTGCCTGTCCCGCCACCTCATGCCTGCCTGCCTGCCTGCCTGTTTCGACGTGCAGGCGACCCGGGGCGCTTTGTGGCGTCGGACTGGCTCACGGCGTGGGCGGACGCGGGGGTGGAGGCGGGGGCGCCTCAGCCAGTAGACAACGCCCCGCTGCTGTGCCCGCACAACAAGCTGGACCCAGCCAAGCTGGCAGGTGGGCGGGGGTGCCGCGATTCGGGCCGGGGAGGGCGCCCCCCTGCCTGGCCGGCTCCGCCGCGCCTCGTCTGTCGCGCATCCCGCGATCCCGTTTGTTGCCGCATCGCCACATCCCCGCCACACCTGCCCAGTTCGCCCTGTGTGCCCGCCCCTCTCCACTGCCCCCCCCCCACACACACACCTGCCTGCAGCCGCGCGCCGCATCAGCACCCCGGCCTGGGAGCAGCTGCGGGGGAGGTATTGTGGCGGGCCGGAGCTGGGGCCGGGCGACGCCTGCCCCACCTGCCTGGCCGCCTTCCTGGACCACATTGTGGCCAAGGAAGACACCCAGGTACCTGCGGTACCGCCGACTCCCGCACATGCTGCCCTATTCCCTTGCACGCCGCCGGCAGGCCCGCGGCCCTTGGCACGCCAGCAGCCCCCGCCATACACCTCCCCGCACACCCTGCGCCGACCAGTTGCCCGCCTGCCTGCCTGCCTGCCTGGCTGGCTGCCTGCAGGGCCTGAAGGAGCACTTCATGGCTGTGGCCGCAGCGGTGCTGGCTGGGGAGGGGGAGGGGCAGGGCCAGGAGCCCGCCTTCTTCGTCAGCATGCCCTGGCTCAAGTGAGTGGGGCACAGGGCTGTGTCTGCAGCGTGTCGTGACTGTGGTAGATGCTTTTAGACAGCGCGTCTGCCAGGATGGGGGCGAGACACGGCGCAGCCGGTCGCCCGCGGCACCAGCCAGCCGTGCTCCCAGTCGGCTTGCCGACACCTGTCTGGTGCCTGCCGCCGCCGCGACCGCTCCCCTCCGCAGCGCGTGGCTGAAGCAGCGCAAGGGGAGCATGGGAGGCACGCACCCCACCAAGGACATCACCTGCCCCTGCGGCCGCCTGGCACCAGAGAGCTCCAAGGTGCGGCGCGGCCTGGCCCCACGCCGCGCCCGCTTTGTGCCCCTCGCCACACATCCATTTCTCAAGCCCGCAACGCAAAGCAAACATAAATGGCGTGCGATGGCTGCATCGCCTCGGCGCCGCAGCTCTGCCGTTTCCTGCCCGCCAAAAGCGTGCCCGCCAAAAGCGTGCCCGCCGAAAGCGTGCCCGCCGCCTGCGCTGCCGCTGCGACCCTTGTCTGCTCGCAGACGCGGCGGGTGGGCATCCCAGAAGACTTCTGGCGCTTCCTGCAGCGCAGTTGGCAGGCGGCCTGCGCGGAGCGGCGCGCCAGGGAGCAGCGCCGCACGCTCAAGTCGGGCGGCGGCGGCGGCGGCGCCTGGGATGCGGCAGACTCGCAGCAGCAGCAGCAGCAGCAGCAGCAGCAGCAGCAGCAGGAGCAAGGTGGGTTGGGTCAGGTGGCACCCTGCTGGGTGGACTGCCGCCAGCACGCAATCCCTGCCCCCAATTGCATCAGCACCGGCCGCAGGCTCACTCAGAAAGTGCTTGGTGTATTGAGGGCGCGGTCTGGCTGCTTTGCAGGGGCTGCAGAAGTGATTGAGGTCCTAGACTCCCCCAAGGCGCCCGGCCTCGAGCCGGGTGCTGCAAAGGAGGAGGAGGAGGCAGCGCAGGAGCAGCAGCGGCAGGCCGGGGGACGGCGGCGGCGGCGAGGCGGCGGCGGCGGCGGCGATGGAGCGGCGGCCTCCGCGGCAGGCGAGGCGGACGGGGAGGTGGAGGAGGTGGAGGAGGTGCTGCCCAACGGCAACCACCCGGCTGCGGCGGCGGCAGGGGCCAAGGAGGAGGAGGTGGTGATGCTGGATGGCGGGGATGGGGCGGCTGGGGCCGGCACAGGCAGCGCGGCAGCAGCAGCAGCAGCAGCGGCAGCAGCGGCAGCAGAGGATGCGGCGCGGGCGTTTCCTGTGTGGCGCGGCGAGTGTGGGGTGTGTGCCGGGCACCTCAGGGAGGCCAGCAACGCTCTCAAGGTGGGTGCGCGGGATTGGTGCGCGCGGGGAGGCGCAGGGCAGGCACACACGCTTGTACACTTGTCTACCCTTGTCCTCAGCTCTTTGGTGTCATGTCATGTGCCCCTCACGTGACTCGCGCACCTCCCCTGCTGGGTGGACTCTTCCTGGGCGGTCACAGGTGTGGCGCCCAAGCATCTCCCCACCCTAACCCCGCCCGTGCTCGCCCCCACTTCCCCGCCGCCCTGCCCTGCCGCCGCCCGCAGGGCCTGCAGGGGCGGCTGGCCGAGGAGAAGGCGGAGCTGCAGCACCTGCTGCAGCCGCAGGCGGCGGCGCTGGTGCCGGGGGCCAGCTACCGGCTGGTGCCGGCGGCCTTCATGGCGCGGTGGCGAGCCTACATGCAGCAGGCGGGCAAGCGGGCACTGTCGCCCAGCTCCAAGGCGGCCCAGGTGGGTGGCGGGCGGGGGGTACCGGCTCGGCGCGCGCCGGCGCCGTGGACGTGGAGGCAGGCCGGCGCGCGGACACCCCTGGCGGGCCCCTGCCGACCGTGCCCCGTGCCTTCCTTCACGTGGCTGGCTGCACCCGGCCGCTGCCGCCTGCATCCTGATCTGCTGCGCCCTGCACCCTCCCCCCTTGCCCCGCACCCCTCCCGGCCGGCGCTCTGCAGATTGTGCAGCCGCCCGATCTGGCAGAGGCGATGCTGGGGGTGCTGTGTGAGTGCCACCGCGGCGAGGCGAAGCAGGAGGAAGGGGAGGAGGAGGGGGAGGAGG